TGTAATTTTTCCAATTCATCTTTTAAACTTTTAATATCACTATCACGACGTCTAAGTTCTTGTTCAACTTTTTCAGCTTGTTGTTTTACGGATTCTTTTTCGTAACTAACTTTTTCCAATTCATCTTTTAAACCTTTAACCAAATTATCATATTCAACACCACTAAGACGATTACCATTAATGCTTATAACACTTTGACGATGATTACTATTAATACTTTTAGCGTAATCACTATCAGCTTTATCTTTTGTAATTAAAGATTCATCAATATTTTTTTCAATTATACTATTTCTTTTATCCAAATCACTAGTACCATCTTTATTCCTTTTACGAAGGCTTTTTACTTTAGCCATCAAGGAATTTTTAGATTTAGCATCATCTTCAGGATGAGAAGGATCCGAACGAGCTTGATCACCGAAAAATTTTAAAGTTTTCATTTTATATATATATATATATATAATAAATATTAATATTAAATATATATTTATATATATATATATATAATATTATTACGATAATATTATTACGAATACGTATTAAGAGTAAGTGTATATACCGCCTTTAAAAAAAAAATAAAATTCTTTGATAACTTGGATAATATTTTTTCTTTGGCGGAGTTTCACGGGCCCCGTGTAATATAAGGATTGGGAGAATGAATGAAAGATGTGAAAGGGATCTTTTTTATAGTTCCAACCCAGATACAAGTAACCTAAATACAAGTAAATACAAGAGTATGTGTAATGACCCTGTCAGAAGTAGCCGAGTAAAAAGAACGGGGAAATTGTAATGTGTGATATATATATATATATATACGTATAATATTTATATATATACATATAATATATATTATATATATATATATATATATATTAAATAAATAAGATTATGTATTATGTATGTATATATACATATATATATTCTCTACTTACCAACAATAATAACGATCAGGAGTAGAAGGAGTAGAATTATCTTTTTGTTGTAATTTTTCCAATTCATCTTTTAAACTTTTAATATCACTATCACGACGTCTAAGTTCTTGTTCAACTTTTTCAGC